CCGCCGCCGCCGCGGGAGGAGGGACAAAGGGGTGGGTCCCCGCGCTCTGCAGCCCGGCGGCCGGCGCTGCAGGTCGGAGGAGTGACCCGCCGCGCTGAGGGAAGGCGCCGCGTTCCGGAGCTGCGCGCCCACGCGGGACCCCCGCCCCAGATGCCGGTGCGAGGAGACCGCGGGTTTCCACCCCGGCCGGAGCTGTCACGTTGGCTCCGCGTAAGTGTCCCCCTGCGCCCCGCGGTCGGGAGAAGGGGCGCGAGCGGTTGCTGGGGGCGTGCGGTGGGCTCTGGCCGCGAGCTGCCCTCAAGTTATTACCCGAGGCGCTGTGGGAAGCTGGGATTGTCCCCCCCCCGGACGGGGGACGCCGGGGAGGGGGCTTCCCGGGACGGGGGTGATGGCGCGTGGCCTCCAGGGCTCCCGGATCCTTTTCTCTACTATCTGAAGTCACTTGGGCTTTGAAGTCCAGGAGAGGAAACTGTCTTGAACTCAGTGTCCTGGATTTCTGCCTTTGTGTTTCCTTCTCTGCTTAAAACCACACTCTCTACTTGATGTAAAAAGTGACAGGAGTGTGTACGTGAGAGAAAATGACAACTCATCGGAGACCAGACGCTCTTTTTTCTTTTCCACTGGCTGCCTCTGCAGTGTGAGTAGAAGTTATTTTCAGTAGGGAGTGGAGATGGGGTTTCAGAAGAAGCCACAAAAAGGGAGCGATGAATGCTTTCTACTCTGCTGTTGTCCCTACCTGTCACCAGTCTCCTTTTATTTTGACTTCATTTGTCAAGTTTCGGCTTTTACACAGTTGTTCATTTTAAGTTGTAAATAATCAGGAGTTCCGACTGTAGCGTTTTAACATTCTTGAAATGTGGACGAACTTGGGAGTGAGTACTCCAGGGCTTAGCAATGGAATACAGCCTCCCACCTCTATTTTAGCTTCAGGTCTTAGGCAGAGTCGTTTCCCTGGCAGCTGTCTGGCCTGAGTCATAATGGTTGTGGTTTCCCTGAAGTTCCCAGCGGGGAGTCATCCCATCACAGAAACTGCTCTGCCGTCGCACACTCCCTCCCTCGGCGTGGGGAGTCCCAGATGGGAGGGCAAGAGGCTCTTTTCCTTCAGGTCTCTAGGTGGCCTGTGCTGAGGGTGCTGACAATCGCTTTGGGTAGGCAGGTTCACCTTTTTCAGAGTGATTCCTGGAGAAACAGTGGGTAGGTAGGCACACCTGGGAAGGAGATCATTTTAAGTGGGAAATTAGTAGTAGTAATTGCATTTGTAGCAAAGTCCCGTTTGATATCCTGCCAAGGAGAATGAAATTTAATCATTTAACAAATTTTTGTGAATAATCCCACTTCATTGTGGGGAATACAAAAGTGGGTAAGAGCTTCTCTCTGCCACACAGTCTTGTTGGGGAAGGGTGCAAGTAATTAACCAATCCCATGAGTGTCGTTTAGAACTATGGACTCCCTCTGTGGAGAGTTGGGGGGGGGTGTGCTTTACTAACGCAACAGTGGATTTTGAGGTGTTTCTTGAGGTTTTTTAGAGCTACTGTCAGAGTTGGATGGAGGGGAGTTCCCCCCTCCCCCCAAATGCTGCTGCAACTTTTTCAGTACCGCTCAGCTAATACTCATTGAGCACCTAGGGGTGCCAGTCACTGTGAGGGGATACAAAGATGAAAGAGATTCAATCTCTGCTTTCAAGAGTCTGTTGACCTGAAAATTTTAGACTGTTTTAGACTCTGCAGTCTCTCTCTGGCGGAATTCCTGGGGCTGAGGGAGGGAATGTGCACTTCAGATGCACACTCTACAATACAGAAAGACGACAAAGGATGGGATTGTCCTGGATGCACTCCTTTCAGGGATTCTTGCTGGGAAGAAAGGGCATCTGAATAGATACCTCACAATGTAAGCCACTATAGAAAATGGGGCTGGTAATGCATCCACTTCACTGGGCTGAGTGATGACTGAAGAGATGACTTAGGAAACACCGGCATGTAGTGGTACTAAGTAAATGGTAGCTAGGTGTTCTGAATCAAAACTGGTGCTGAAAACTCTTAAGTGTTGGGTGCCGGGTTGATAAAGGAGGTGAGATCTAGAAGTACAGGTAGGAGGTACCAGGTAGGTGTAAGAGAGGAGTTGCTCGTACTCTCTTGAAAGGCCTTGAATACTAGTAATTGAACTTTGTGGGGAGAGGGAGTCATAGAAATCCTTAATGTATAAATGTCTCGACTTTTCCTACAAAGAAGTGAGTCAGTTTTCCAGTAAACATCCTACCCCTCCCCCTACACAGTAAATATTGCTATTTTTCAAGCACTCCTAGGCTTAAGACCCATGAATTTTTACATCACCCCTTAGGGAATCCATTCACAGTGACTTCTGCCTACATTTGTTTAACTTTTGAGCTAGTTTTTTTGTACATGGACAAAAAGTCACAGCCAGCCATTTATCTTCAGGATAAGTGGGAAAACTTTTTGAATTCCTCTGAATACAAGGGAGATGATAAAAATCCCCATGTTAACTTTTGAGTTTAACCAAGTTTTTTCTCCTTAAAAAGGTTGTCTTTTTGGGAGAAAGGTAAGTTCTTGAAACTAGGTGGGTCTACTTTAGTCCTGAGTACAATAGTATGTTCTTTAAATAGTAGTTTAAAAAGTCATGCAGATTTGGTTTGGGAGTGGCATGAGGTGTGGGTGGGGTGGGGGTGGGGTAAAGAGTTAGGAAGTGTTAGTAATCACCGCTGAAACTTTCAACCTACTTCTGTCAAGAATGAGCCACTGGGGAATTTCTTGCTTAATACCTAAAGCAAATTAAGCAGTTGTGACTACAGATTAGTTCATCTGTGTTGAGAGCTGATTCCCAATAAAATGCCTCATTGATCAGACTCTAAGCAGTAATCAGGGATCTGACAGTTGGTGGCCAGAAAGACCTTGGTGTTGAGAGGCATTTTCCAGTGAAGGTGATTTGGGAATGGTAATATCTGAGGGTGTGATTGCTCCAGATATGGGTGGTGGGAAGCAGAATGAATATCTCAGGTGTTTTACTGTCAGTCTCTTTATCCTAAATCCAAGAGTCAGGGCAAAAACATAGACTCAGAGATCAGATTAAACACCTATTTAGTGTGTTAAACATGTCAATGAGTATGTGAACTTTGTTAAGGTAAAAAAAACTAGGGCCTATTTCACTCCCACAGGAATTTTTGTGAAGCTTTTCAGCAGAAGCCCATATAGCTAGCAAATATATGAGGGTCTGAGGTGGCATTACCATTAAACTTTTTACTTGCTTTTTATTTTTTTATTTTGTTTACCATTGAACGTTTAAAAAAGACTATGTAATAGGAATGGTATTAAAGTTTTCAGGTACTCAATCCCAACATTCAGTATTGCAATAGGTAGTTCCAGTTTTGGATGGTACCTAGGAAGGCAGTTAATTAACCTTGTGTGCTGCCTACATTGTTGTGTGAGAGGCAGGATTCTGAGTTGGAAAGTGTTTACTTCCACTTTTTCCACTTGATTAGGAAATGCATTTCTTGAACTTGACAACTGACTGCTAGAGCCCCAGAAGCAATAGCTTCCCATAACAGTGACTGTTCCATTTGTTTTTTGGGGGGCAGGTTGGGGGGTGGCTGGCCTATATGGGGATCCAAACCCTTGTTATAACACTGGGCTATAACCAACTGACCTAACTGGCCAGCTTTCTATTCTGTTATTTAAAGGGATTAATGTCTCCATTTTCTATCCAGTCATTGCACCCAAAGCTTCACCCTGGATAACCTGTGAGTTTAGAAGAGAGACTAAGGACTATCATATCCAAAAAATGCCTAATCATTTGAGCATTTTCTCTGCTTTACTTTGCTTTCCTCAAAACATCGTTTTATAAAGTGTGGTATGCAGACAGACTTACAGATGGTACAAGGAGGGACATATTCTATTTTTCAACTGTTGTGCATGAATATTGTATGTTAGGAATAAAAAATGAAGTCAGCAACCAAATCCATTTATTTCATGGCTAGATTACTTAGAAAGAGGCAAAAAGAAGTATTAAGTAAAACAATGAGTTTGCTTTAAGAAAAATCGTAAACTGTGGGAGTGAGTAGTGTGAGGATAAGGCAAAAATTGTGAAGATAGCCCTTGACATCTTAGATTTGGGTGATACTGCTTAAAATATGAGTGTGAGAGTTAAGTATACAAAGTGGCTCAGAAAGGCCAAGAAAGTTGAATTTGATGGACTTTGTTTGTAAAGCATGTGCATCTTGGTGTTGTCCACCCATCTTTCTTACCTATGATTGCAGATGCTATATTTCTGAAGCTCTTGTAATGTCTGGCTCAATTCTCATTACTTTCTCTGCTTCCTGTAAGCCATTCTGCAGTTTTTAAGGTCTGTTTGTGTGACATTTTTGATTTCATAGAGTGATAGGGGAGGAAATATTTTGGCGCTGCTTAGGGACATCACTCTATCGAGTGAATCTTGCTCATGATCCTTTGAAGAATGTGCAAAGCCAAACAGCCTCAGATGTACATGCATTTAACTTTTAATTTTAATTTTTTCTTTGGTCTCAAAGCCATAGAAATGAACAGTGTACCCAGCAGTAAAGCAAGCAACGATTTAAAGAGAAGAGAGCCTGTGCATAAGGCAGGTAGCCATGGGGAAGCTAGCTCCGCATTTAACTTTTTAAAGTCTTTCAAAAGGGTGCCAATTGGAGGAATTGTTTTTTGCTTTGTTTGTTTTGATGGAGCTTATATTGGTCTATAAAATAGGCTTTAACAAGGATTCTGTAGGTAGAAAACAAGTAACCCTGCTGTGACCTAGAAAGATAAGCAGTTGAAATGCACCTTCATGGTAGGTGAATAAAACAAGGACAATAGAAAACAACTGTTTTAGTCACCAACATCTGTAATTGTGAGTATGCGCATACCATTTATGAGAAATCCTGTCTTCAATTAGTAACTTGTACTTTAATCATTTTAAATCAGTACAGCTATTTGTTTAGTGCCTCACCAGATAGTTGAAGTTAAATCAGGTCTTTAACCTTAACATAATGCAGTTCTCCTTAACCACTTACACATCATTGTGTATTACATACTTGAGAGTCATTTATCAGACTGAAGTAAGATACATTTTGTAATAATGAATATTTATTTTAACTTTCAGACTAATATTTAGCCTAATTAGAATATTTATGATTATGGTTTCTGTTTATTTTTCTCCTTTGATACTGTATGGGGGTGGCAGTA